ATATATATATATATATATATATATACTCACATATGCATGTGTTTTATTATTCATATTACATACATACATATAATGTACAACCAAGTTGTAACAAATTCCGACACGAATTTAAAATGTCGTCTTAAAGCAAAGGCTTGTTTTGGTCCGATATAAAACACAATATACGGCTTTTTGGCTTAGGCATAGATTTAAAGATTCGCGGTTATGGATCATATCAGAATACATTTTTATGATGATAAAATCTTGTGAATTTTGCAATTTGCAATGTTTTTCAGTTTAAAGCAAACTCCAGAAAATATTTTAATTTAAAACTTGAAACCGCAGGTCTCTAATTATGCCTCTACTACGCAGAATGGTGTTGTAAACTTGTAAGCTCGGTAAAAATACGCAGTAGAAGAGTTTCAGGTGGGCCGGTGCAGAGCAGAGCAGAGCGGTGACAGAAGTGTACTCTCAAATTAAAATGGATCTGAAAGACGTAAATTTCGAGGATTTGTTTCAGTTTTCACCAGACCCCCCTAACCCAGAGCAAGAGGAGCAAATTGAAAACCAGATCAAGAAAAATAAACAAATGGATTCGTACTCTTCAGAATATATTCTTCCACACGGGTCTTTAATCAAGTAAATAAAATTTCNTGTCATTGTCATTGTCATTGTCATTGTCATTGTCATTGTCATTGTCATTGTCATTGTCATTGTCATTGTCATTGTCATTGTCATTGTCATTGTCATTGTCATTGTCATTGTCATTGTCATTGTCATTGTCATTGTCATTGTCATTGTCATTGTCATTGTCATTGTCATTGTCATTGTCATTGTCATTGTCATTGTCATTGTCATTGTCATTGTCATTGTCATTGTCATTGTCATTGTCATTGTCATTGTCATTGTCATTGTCATTGTCATTGTCATTGTCATTGTCATTGTCATTGTCATTGTCATTGTCATTGTCATTGTCATTGTCATTGTCATTGTCATTGTCATTGTCATTGTCATTGTCATTGTCATTGTCATTGTCATTGTCATTGTCATTGTCATTGTCATTGTCATTGTCATTGTCATTGTCATTGTCATTGTCATTGTCATTGTCATTGTCATTGTCATTGTCATTGTCATTGTCATTGTCATTGTCATTGTCATTGTCATTGTCATTGTCATTGTCATTGTCATTGTCATTGTCATTGTCATTGTCATTGTCATTGTCATTGTCATTGTCATTGTCATTGTCATTGTCATTGTCATTGTCATTGTCATTGTCATTGTCATTGTCATTGTCATTGTCATTGTCATTGTCATTGTCATTGTCATTGTCATTGTCATTGTCATTGTCATTGTCATTGTCATTGTCATTATTATTATCTAGAACTACAGTTTTCAAGAAATGCAGCAAGCTTACTCTTTACCTTCAAGTCAGGTATAATTTTAAAAAAAATATAATTTAAAGAATAAAATCAACAAAAAAAATATTTTTAAGTTTTTAGGTATTTTTGGGATCAAATTAATGCTTTAATTACTTTTCAGAATATCATAATCTTTTAGAATAAAAGCTTTCATCCATATTGTATTTTTCATACATTGTGTTTCAATATTGATTATCTCATGCTGTAAATATACAAAATACTTTTCTATTTTATATTTAAATATTACCCTCTTTAAAATTTAAAATTATTAATTCCATTCATTTTTTTGTTGCTACTTTAAATATCAATTTACAGCATTTTGGAATACTCAAAGTTTTTCCAGGGGATGAGCCTTTAATGCTGACCAAAATCTCTTTAAAATTGGTTATAGAAAGGTTTCCTGCTTTAGGAATCATATAATAAACGAAATGGCAAAGAAAGAAAAAAACGTAGTGTAATGTATATTTTATATTTTATGATATATTTTCTTATATTTAGAGTCGTGAAAACATTAACCCTGGATATATTTTTTATGTTTAGAGTCGTTAAAATATTAACCCTAGATATATTTTCTTATATTCAGAGTCGTGAAAACATCAACCCTAGATATATTTTCTTATATTTAGAGTCGTGAAAACATTAACCCTAGATATATTTTTTTACGTTTAGAGTCGTTAAAATATCAACCCTAGATATATTTTCTTATATTTAGAGTCGTGAAAACATCAACACTAGATATATTTTCTTATATTTAGAGTCGTGAAAACATTAACCCTGGATATATTTTTTTATGTTAAGAGTCGTTAAAATATCAACCCTAGATATATTTTCTTATATTTAGAGCCGTGAAAAGTGAAAACATTAACCCTAGATATATTTTCTTTTATTTAGAGTCGTGAAAACATGAACCTAGATATATTTTCTTATATTTAGAGTCGTGAAAACATCAAGCCTGGATATATTTTCTTATATTTAGAGTCGTAAAAACATCAACCCTAGATATATTTTCTTATATTTAGAGTCGTGAAAACATCAAGCCTGGATATATTTTCTTATATTTAGAGTCGTGAAAGCATCAAGCCTGGATATATTTTCTTATATTTAGAGTCGTGAAAACATTAACCCTGGATATATTTTCTTATATTTAGAGTCGTGAAAACATTAACCCTAGATATATTTTCTTATATTTAGAGTCGTGAAAACATTAACCCTGGATATATTTTCTTATATTTAGAGTCGTGAAAACATGAACCCTGGATATGTTTCTTATATTTAGAGTCGTGAAAACATCAACACTAGATATATTTTCTTATATTTAGAGTCGTGAAAACATCAACACTAGATATATTTTCTTATATTTAGAGTCGTGAAAACATCAACACTAGATTTATTTTCTTATATTTAGAGTCGTGAAAACATCAACCCTAGATATATTTACTTATATTTAGAGTCGTGAAAACATGAACCTAGATATATTTTCTTATATTTAGAGTCGTGAAAACATCAACCCTGGATATATTTTCTTATATTTAGAGTCGTGAAAACATGAACCCTAGATATATTTTCTTATATTTAGAGTCGTGAAAACATGAACCTAGATATATTTTCTTATATTTAGAGTCGTGAAAACATGAACCCTAGTCAACAGTGGGAAGAAACTCAGGAGTCTGATGTAGGTCTGTATTTTGTATAATATGCTACCATGGGCTACCCTCAACATTTTTTTATTACATTATGTTCATTTTATTTTTGGGACACTTTTATATCTTCTTAAGATGTTTAATAAATGTTCTACAAAAAACGATGTTTGGCTTTACTTAATAAATTCATCGGATGCTTGTCTAAAAATGAAGAAAAAAACATGAAATGAAATATAAAAGTTTTTTATTTTGAATTTTTTATTTTTGATGTCAAGTTGAAAACTAGAGAAGATATGACGTTGCTAAATTGCTCATATTTTGTTCACATTTTTATTTTCATAAAAAAAATAATTTTAGGCTATATTATTAATTCCAGAAACTGGTTCAAAAATTTTTTCTTAAAAAGACAGCTTTAAAATTATTTTTTGTTTTAACATTTATTTAGTTTGTTTTTTTGTTTAGGAAGTGGAGATGAGGGATCAAGTGGACAAGGGGGAGGTGAAGATTGGTCTGATGGTCGAGGTAACCTNCCCCTTTAACCCCTCTATTACGCACCTCCCCCCCATATCACGCACCCACCCTCTCCCGACATTTAAAAGACTGCTTACTCGCCACAAACTATCATGTTCTAATTATTGGCGTTTTCGATCAGTGTTGAAAACTTTAGTCCAGGTCGCTTAATCTGAATATCCAATGTAGACACTTTGAATTTCCTTCTGAACCCGCCATTATTCTTTTTTTCTCTTTCTGGTAGTTTCCTATCAATGACAGTTCACTCATTAAATGTTGCGCCAAATTTCAAACTTACCGGCTTATCTGATCAGCTGTTTTGGGCCTACCAAACCCCACTCGATCGGTTGAGTTTTAAACACCTTTGTTGATGCAAACTTAAGATTAAAAAAATCTTGAAATTAACAAAAAGAAAAAGCAAGCATTGATCCCGATTTCAACAATTCTACACAGTTTTCAACTCAGATCAAAAAGTTGCAGTTTGAAATAGCATTTAGGTTTACATCATATTCATCAGTTTGCACAAAGATTACAAGATTTTTGTTTGAGTCACGAATGATCAATTTCTTTGACCGCACTTTTACTCAACAGTAACTGATTTCCGGAACATTTTTTATGATTGAATTTGCGCAAGCTGTTTTTGATATTTGGGAAAAAATTGTCAAAGGCATTCCTGTACACAATTCCTTCATTGTTTTTTGCCTGCAGTAGCTTAAAAAACTGCCGATTGTTTCAAATTTTTTTCTAAATCTAGAAAGTGGAGGAAGAGGACGGAAAGGGAAAAAGGGGAGTCCAAAAAATAAACTTGAGCGAAGCAGACAAAGTGCTCGAGAATGCCGCCAAAGAAAGAAACTTAGGTTTGTCTTTAAAATATTATGAAGACGACATTCATGCAATCTTATACTTATTTGTACTTTATGAAAGGAGGGGAGGAAGGCCAACCACATCTATCTTTAGTCCGAACCACATTCTCCTCATTTTCTCGTCCGAACCACCTCGGAATCCTCGTCCTTCGATTATTTTGTGTTAAAAAGTTTCCAATTCTTGAAGATAAAACTATTTTTAAAAATCTGGCCACATTAGGGCATAAAATATAGATGGACTAAAGTAATGCAATGATTATATCATGTTGGAATCTTCAAACCCATGAGAATGATGTCAAACTTTATTTAGGTAAAACTTAAATCTCTTCTGCCTCCGTAATGGCTAACCTTCGTGATATGAAAAAAATAGCAAAATATTCGGCATACCTCTGCCTATAATTTTCCCCATGGAACCACCCAGAAAAATTCTATGGTTTTCACTAAAGTTAATAAAAAAGATTGAAGTTCTATAAGCTTGGAATTATTTGCGGCATACTACACCAGGAATATCTGAAAATGCGCGTAAAAAAGGTGAACATTTTTAAAGGCATTCAACCTGAAATCTTTAATTCAATTGAAACTTTTTCATTTATGCCTTAACGTGGCCCGATTCTTTCAAAATAGTTTTATCTGGAAGGATTAGATACTCTAAAAAATAATATTGAAAGGACGAGGATTTTGAGGTGGTTCGGACGAGAAAATGAGGAGAATGTGGTTCGGACTAGAGATTGATGTGGTTGGCCTTCCTCCCCTCATGAAAGTGTCCTTTATATCGGCTTCAATATTAAAATTGTTCTGTTTACACTGCACTGTATGTCATGTGCAGCAATGTGCATTGTGCATGGTAAGGTTAAACATTGTTGCATAAATCTATGATTTTTTAACATATCTATTTAGATATCAATACCTTTTCATGATTTTATCTATTCAGATATCAATACTTTTATGATTTTATCTATTTAGATATCAGTTCATCTATTATCTTATCTATTTAGATATCAGTACATCTATTATCTTATCTATTTAGATATTGAAACCTTTATAATCTTATATATTTAGATATTAATATCAATTAATAATCTGATATATTTAGATATCAATACCTTGATGACCTAATTCTTGCAAGGGAAAGAGCAAATTTTCTGCTAAGAGAAGAATTAGAAAAGTGAGTATGCATAGTGTAACCAATTACATTTTATGAAACGTTCCTAAAATCCTATTTTATAGCAATGCAGAATCATACAGTGGTCTGTGCTTACATCTATGCAATAAAGACGACTGTTGTATTTAAGTTTTGATTTACAGCGAGCTTTTTTTAAATTTACAAGTGAACAAAGAGAATTTGTTAATTCACAGCTTCTCTTTGTTTCTATGTTTATGTGTATCATATGCTCTTTAAAGGCTTGGTAGAAATCGAAATTGAAATCGAAAGTCGTCTTCATTGTACTGACATCTACGACGACGATTGTATATGATGTGGGACTTCCTGTAGAAATTGCGTTTTTGGGATGTCTACTCATTTAGCAAACTCAACCTAGGGGGCCTCCCCTTGTGATTGAAAAGGGAAATTTTCAGACAAATTGAGAAAATGGCGAAATTTAAGTTTCGAAAAAAAGCTCTTCTAAATGGAGTCTCTCTTCAACGTTACAGATACAAAATTTAAAAAAAACCTCCCCCACCCTCTGAACCAATCACATGGACTTAAAATCTGAAAATATCAATCTATGTTTTATCCAGATATGTATCTTGGTGTAAGGAGCTGGATCAAGGTCGTCTTCCTGAGGGATGGAACGCATTCTTACAACAGGAACAAGTGCGGTTTAGATAGACGGATAGACATATTAGGAGATTGTTAGACTGTAAAGAGATAAACAGAATTACAGATAGATAGATAGATAGATTGAAATATAGATAGTCAGATAAACGAATATTTAAACAGTATAGACAGATAGACAAATAGACAGATAAACAAATAGACAGATAGACAGATAGACATATAGACAGATAGACAGATATAAAGACAGATATACAGATGTAAAGAATGATAGACAGATATGAAGACACGACAGAAGGACAGATATAAAGCTAGACGGAATAAAAATTTAATGAGAACCAGCAAACTCCGGAACATGAAGACGACTTTAATGCTCAAGTTTAAATAGTCCTAAAAAAGATTAGACACTAATTGTACAGTTTACAGTGCAAACTGGTTTTTTTCAAGGAATAAGTAAAATTATTAGCTTTGTAAACAGTGCTTAGGATCCAGATCCGGGCGAAATATTAACCAAATACGTGTACAACTTTTTGCTCTCAAAACTTAAATCTGAACTGTAGAATAATAGTGTTTATTTAATTTTTATATGTCTCTGAGTGGCCCATCTGAAAAAAAGCTTTTTTTTGTTAATAAAATCAGTAAATCTGAAAGGGATATTAATGACCTGGATCCGGATCCGGATCCATTTTTTTCCAGGCAGATCCGAATTCAAATCCGCATCAAACTGCAATGGATCCCAAGCACTGTTTGCATTAACACATATATACACTTCAGAATTGCTTTAATGTCGTTTTCCTATTTCAAAGTTTTCTTAAATTCAAATTCAGTGCAACTCTTGCACTGGAATAGCCGAAAGTTTCTTAATTTCGTCTTTTTGCAAATTATAAGATTTAATATATTTAGATAAAGCATGAGGTTGGAGAATGAAGGTGGTTCTACAAGTGGTCGACAATCAAAATATATGAACAAGATGATTCGAATTCAAATCTTAAAAATACAAATGATCAAATAGACTGAACTTAAAATTAAACCAATGTCTTAATACCTAGTGTGTCCCTTTTAATCATAACAATGTACATACAACATACCATATTTAATACTTTCTCACTTTATATTCTGTAACTTTTATTATTTAGACAACTTGTTCTCTAGTTTTAACTCTTCATGGGCATTATATAAACCCCTATTGTTGTACACTGTGTTTGTACCTGAATGTTGTTTATAAACTTTTATAAATATAATCATACGTTTAGTTTTTTATCAAGATTCGTAATACCAAAGAATCCATACATTTTGGAAAAGGAAGACGACTTTTACACTGAATTTATGATTTTAACAAGTTCAATGAGAATTAAACATAGCAGTTGTGCAGTGTACACAAACCAAAGAGAATAGAATATATGTTACGGTGGAATTTATAAGAAAAGAGTGTAAAACGGCCATTTTGCTGTATTGTTTCCATACTACAGGTGTATACATATTTGTGTATAATATATCCTTTTGGGCCCTGGAACATCATTTTACAGAAAATCTAAAATTAATATTAAAAGAAAACCAAATTATGAAATAGGCTGGTTTCATAATTGACCAATGACTCTATGCCTTTCACTTTATAAACGATGATTTTCCGTTATAACTATAAATCAAATGATGTTTTCTTATTCACCTAATTCATTATAAAGTTTATTTAACAGCTTTAAAAATATCGAAATTGAAATGGATAGTCTAGGGAACATACTGTATTATTGTACTCCACTGCATATAATTTGTGCATTTACATGATTTGTACACTTTGAACTCCCTTTCAGGCTGAAAGGGACTGACAAAATTCATACCGAGGGATTGTTTAAATTCCACTCTGATATATATTCTATTCTCTTTGACACAAACTCATTTTACTTAATAGATTTTCCAGCTCCAGGTAAAACTGTTTGCTTCGTGACAATATAAAATACACTTAAAAGATTGGCTAATTGCAATCCTTCTTACCATGATTTGTTGGGTGATACTGTATCATTAGTTCTAAAATAACACAAAAATTCATTCTTTATTTAAATATTTTGTTCATTATTTTAAGTCTACTGTCTACTTTTAAGAACTGCATTGCAGCGTGTACAATAAGGATAAATGAGTCAATCACAGATTCGTATGGGTACTTTGATTGGATGATATTTAGTATTGTTCTCGCAAACTTGAACTGGAATTGGTTTGCAAATGTTCAAACAATTTGCTTTGCACAATTCTAATTCTTGACATGTTTGATCGGTGTAGGGTGAGCACTCCTCAGTTATTCTAACTTTTGGAATATTTTTGCATTCTTTTGATGGAACGTTTTTGCAAACTTTTTCTGGTTTTCTAAACGGTGTTCGTCTGCATGACTGACTTGGAACGTCCGCGCATTTTTCAATTTGTTTTCGAACCGGTTTGGAATGGCAAACTTGGCGCGGAACCTTGACACAGTCAGAATTATAACCGCGGCATTCATCCGTGTACTCTGTACTGCATTCGTCAACAAACTTTGTTACTGTCAGAGTTGTACATAGGTGTTCATAAGTTTGTGAACATTCTTCATTGTAAAATGTTTTATACTTTTTAATACATTTCTCCATGTACACGTCTGTACAATCCTCGATGTATTCTGTAACGTACTGTTGAGCACAGTTTGATGGGCACCGTACATGTTCACATGTACAAGATGTTGCAGAGCAGTTCTAGAAATAAACAATTAAGATATTGTATTAAGATGGTTCGAAAATCTCGACAAAAAAATGAAATGACTGGTTCAGAAAGAAAGTACTGATCTAAAGGAAACGGAATGTACAAGAATTTCAAGCGTATAAAAACTGTATAAATAAGTTAATAAAGGTAGACACTAGACACAAAGATGTCTGGATCAATTTAGTTATAAATGTTATAAATTTAGCTTTTAAAGGAAAAGCAAAGCATTTATAAGAACTACTTAAAATTTGTTAAATAATTTATCTTTTTCTTATGCAGATCTACGGATCAATCTAATTCCTCTTTGATATCCCGTGAAGGTTATACCTTGCAGAGGGCGGGCAGCTTAAACTGAGAGATCAAGTATTGCTCCTCAAACTCAAAATTTCCCACATTGGATATTGAAATCAAGTGTTAATGATTAATATTCACACAAAGTTCCAATCTCTAAACCCTTAATTACGTTTCCATGTGGTCAGTTTAAATAACCCTGCATGTGTACCTGGTTGTACTGCATTGTGTACCTGGTTGTACTGTATGTATACCCAAGTGTACTGTATGTATACCCAAGTGTACTGCATGTATACCTAAGTGTACTGCATTGAAACCCGTGTTTACTGCATGTGTATAGGATTGTACTGGATGTGTACCGTAGTGTACGACATGCTTACCGGACTAAATATGCATTAGTACCTAAGTCTACTGTATGTGAACCTGAGTGTACTGTATGTGAACCTAAGTGTACTGTATGTGTAACTGAGTCAGCTGCACGTGTACCCTTATTGTACTTTATTTGTACCCGAGTGTAATGCATGTGTACCTGAGTGTACTGTATGTTTACCCAAGTGTACTCTATGTTTACCCTAGTGTACTCTATGTACCTGAGTGTACTTATTGTACTTGAGTGTACTGTATGTGTACTTAATTGTACTGCATGTGTACCTGAGTGTACTGCATTATGTGTACCTGAGTGTACTGTATGTGTACCCGAGTTTACTGGATGTGTTTCTGAGCTATTGTACTCTATAGTTTACGCGGGTGTACTCTAATGTACCGTTTGTGTACCTGAGTGTATGTTTGTTTGCACTCTGTGTCTTGAACTGGTTCTTCTCTAGTCTCGTAAACAGTTCGGCACTAACATAAAACAAACATTAATTTCTGAAAAATTATTGTACTTTTTTCTGGTTGAAAGTGTTCTAAAGCCCAATTTTAAGTGGTGCTTCTTTCAACGAGCTGGATATAGTTCATCATACCCACAGCGTTATATTCTTTAAACCTTTATCTCAAGAACAGTTGTATGGAAAGATAACAACGTTTTTATTTGAAAAGAGAGCTATTCATTACACAAATTATTTCTTTTCTTTACTGCATCGTTTTGCAATTCACTTTTGATGAAAAATTGCAATAAAAAATTATTAATTTTAGGTAGAAAAACATGATTATTTCCTTCATTTCAAGGAAGGTCAGTTCTCTTGAAATAACGTTTACAATCTTTTTAATAATTTATCAAAATTAGGAGTTTCAGCTTATTGATAAAAAAGTACAATCTTGGAATATCATTTACCTTTGGAGTTTTCTCATAATACAACGTATCTAAAATCATAAAGACATGAATTTTTTAAAAACAAAATAAAAAATAATACAAATTTCAAAGATCTCACATCAAATAAAACAAAAGAAAAATAAGAAATTTTTTAAAAGTTAAGATCATGGCTTGACCTAGAGTTATCTTCTTGGGATTTCTATGAATTCCATAATCTCCGAGAGAAGAAATCTGAATGCCCTAACAAAAATTTAGAAATTATAAACCATAACGTCAAGGTAAACGACTTTAGATCAATGATTTTGGTTTACACAGGGTGTCCCACGAAACATGGCAGTAGCTAGACGATTTAAAAGTCGTCTTTGATCAGACATCAACCTTCTTTCAGATGTATTTCGGAAATTCTAAGACTAGGGGGATTGTGATGACTATTAACTATAGAATTTTACTATTAAAATTTGGTTTATAAATAAATGCCGTAAATTATTTCAAAGATCACAGACAGCCTTCAAGTCGTCTTACTACTCTCATGTTTTGTGGGACACACTGTATGATTCACAGCAAATACAAAATGTGCACTGGTAAATCATTGATGATCGTATGTATTTATATATATGGTAAATCGTATTTATATGTATTTTATAAAAAAAAATATCAACAAACATAAAATCTACAAAACTTATACCAAAGAACAAGTTCGAATTTTAAGTCAATAGTAATACCTTGGGTCCATTACTTTGGGGCTCATGATAGGATCCAGTAAGAGCAATATTGGGGTAGGGATCTTCTCGGACAGGATCAGGATAAGGATTTGGACTAGAATGGATTAATGTAGGATTGGAGGCAGCAAAGGGATCAGGTACTGTATCACCTTGGGGTTGATGAATTGATGGATCATATTGGAGTGTGGGATGGGAATGGATTGTAGGATGAGACTGGATTGTGGGATTAGACTGGATTTGATCATAAAATTGAATTGGATTGGATCCTAATGAAGCAGATGGAGGCCAAAGAACAGGAGAGGGTAGGGTACAAGGAAGGAAGAGGATGAGGAAGGATGGAAAAAACATCTAGAAATATTTCAGAATATGTACCTCACAGTATTTTGTACCGTACTACAGGAGACTGTACCGTAAATTAGACTGTAGTGTGCAGTAGATTGTACCATACAACAGACTGCACCATAAATATAATGTTCCATGCATGTTGTGTACAGCAAAATTTATTGTACAAACTGCACCACTATGAAAATTAATATATATTTACAGAAGATTGCATGCAACCGTACGATTAACTTTACCGTATGAACTGTCACTTGTACCGTTCAGCACACTTCATGGTACATTATGTTTTTGAAGTACTGTACGGTCTGTTTTTGTAAACATTGTAGAGCAGAAAAGTGCATTAATTAATATTTATTTCTATTAATTAATTCTAACAGTCAAAATGTTTTATAAATTCTGTATAACCCTTTCAAGAGATGTGAACATCTTTTCCAATATTCTCAAAGTTTGACATTTTCAGTAGCATATTCATATGCGTATATGTATACAAAATAATAGTGGTAAAGAAATATAAGCAGTGCAAGGAGAAATAACTCACGTCTTATCTCCAGGAGACCCAAAACGCAACTGAGCGGACTGAGTAATAGTATAGACTATAGAACACCTATTCAACTATATTGGTATAATGGTAAATGTAAGCGTAATTACAAGTGATCCTCCGAGTAAACATTGCATTGTTCTATTCACAATGGTACCCTTGAAATCTTTATCTGATCAATAATGTGAAAGTCCTTGTCATTATCCAATATATAAATTTTAATTATGATAATTCCTACAGTCTCCTTATCGTTATCATTTTAACCGTATATTGTACAAAATACACTGTGCACTGTACAGCGCATACATTCATACTGTTAACATGAACACAAACTTTGTGAATTTAAAAACTAGATCTAGGATGAGGAAAAGGATATCTTGACGTAAACTCCAGACACTTGATTTATCTTTTACACCTCCAGTCATTTGCCAATTCATACCAGGACACCTGGTATACTTTACAGGGTGGATACCAGGACACCTGGAATACTTTACAAGGGTGTATACCAGGACACCTGGTATACTTTACAGGATGTTTACCAGGACACCTGGAATACTTTACAAGGTGAATACCATGTCACCTGGTATGCTTTACAAGGTGTATACCAGGACACCTGGTATATACCAGGACACCTGGTATGCTTTACAGGGTGGATACCAGGACACCTGGAATCTTTACAAGGTGTTTACCAGGACACCTGGTAAACTTTACAAGGTGTATACCAGGACAACTGGTATACTTTACAGGGTGGATACCAAGATACCTGGTATACTCAACAGGATGTGTACCAGGACACCTGGTATGCTTTACAGGGTGGATACCAGGACACCTGGTATGCTTTACAGGGTGGATACCAGGACACCTGGTATACTTTACAGGATGTTTACCAGGACACCTGGTATGCTTTGCAAGGTGGATACCAGGACATCTAGCATACTTTACAGGATGTTTACCAGTACATCTGGTATGCTTTACAAGGTGGATACCAGGACACTTAGTATACTTTACAGGATGTTTACCAGGACACCTGGTATACTTTACAGGTTGGATACCAGGACACCTGGTATACTTTATAGGATGTTTACCAGGACACCTGGTATTCTTTACAAGGTGGATACCAGGACACTTAGTATACTTTACAGAATGTATACCAGGACACCTGGTATACTTTACAACGTGGATACCAGGACACCTGGTATACTCTACAGGATGTATACCAAGTCACCTGGTATTCTTTACAAGGTGGATACCAGGACACCTGGTATACTCTACAGGGTGTATACCAGGACATCTGGTATGTATCAGGACACCTGGTATACTCTACAGGATATATACCAGGACACCTGGTATACTCTACAGGATGTATACCAGGACACCTGGTATACTTTACAAGGTGGATACCAGGACACCTGGTATACTCTACAGGATGTATACCAGGACACTTGGTATACTTTACAGGGTGGATACCAGGACACCTGGTATACTTTACAGGGGGTATACCAGGACACCTGGTATACTTTACAGGGTGGATACCAGGACACCTGGTATAATCTACAGGATGTATGCCAAGACACCTGGCATACTTTACAGGGTGGATACCAGGACACCTGGTATACTTTACAGGGTGTATACCAGGACACCTGGTATATACCAGGACACTTGGTGTACTTTAAAGGGTGGATACCAGGACACCTGGTATACTCTACAGGATGGTTACCAGGACACCTGGTATACTTTACAGTGTGGATACCAGGACACCTAGTAAACTTTATAGGATGTATAACAGACATCATATATCTGATAGTATACCAGGACATCTTGTATATTCAGAAGGTGTACACCAGACTACATTTGTAGTATACATTGTATACCAGATAAATGAAGTCTGATTTTAGTATTATACAAGGTAAACCAGATAATATTTGATGGTAGAATATACTCTATAGAAGTCTATCATGGAACAACATATAAAACATTTTATACAATTATAGAAAATAGAAGACGACGAGAATTCCACTGTTTTCTGATTCTGATTGTTTCTCACCTGTACAAGTTGTTTAGTTTAGGTTTATATAATAGTGGGAAAAAGATCCCTAAATCTGATAAAACTGATAATTAAACATCATTTAAATACAATCAAGGATATTTATAATGAAAGGAAGTAATTAAATAGGGTGATATTAAAACAAGAATGTAATTGGTTTAATTTTAAAGTATCTGACTGTGTTCATAACATGTAAAGGTTTAAAGTAACATGGCGTTGTAATTTCAAATGTGCATGTACCTAAAGAGGTACATTGTACATTCCATTCAAGTTATGAAAAAAATCATTAATTACCAATGGATTATTTTTTGTTAATGTATATTAACTTGTCATATTATTGTGCTATAAATATTACTTACTTAAACTTACTGATTCATAACGTTATCCCTGTCTAACTGAGAGAAAATGTCGTTTTCTAGCGTTAAAAAAAATTACATTGTTTTCTGCATCAGAAATGCGCAAGTCCCTTATAAAGAAAATTGTCTAGGATAATAAAATTTAAATTTAATAATAATAATAAAATTTAAATTTCTCTGGTTTCACTGGAAACTAGCTGCAGGAGGAGGAGGAGGAGCAGGTAACATTTATCGCAATTATCGGTGCAATTTTGTGACATCGTAGCTCCTCAAGATTTAATTTTACATACAACTATGATATTAAATTAAATTTTATATGATTAAATATTATAAATTCGAAACATTTTTATTATACTAGGCTTTTAGGGGGTTTCGCGCCCATCTTCTATTTAAATTGTGAACATCGTCTTTTTGTTTACATTTTAAAACAAAGAAGAAAAAAGTTTTGCGGATTTTTAAAAAAAATTGGCGGATTTTCATGAATTTAAATTTTTTTTACAAAATTAAAAACCTTTAAAACACATTTTTTTTTATTTTTATCATTCATAAACCTTCCCTGTGGTCACGTGATGTCCCACAAAAAATGTGGGTCCAATCGGTTCAGCCGTTTTGACGTTAATTGGATACAAACAAACAGACAGACACCCACCCATACAGACAGACAAGCCAAATTTATGTATTGATTCAAAAGCTCTTCAATAAGAGGAGTATGACTATAAACATACAAGAGTACAATCTATACTTTAGTCCGGCGAGGTTTCATGCATCTATAGAGATAAACGAGATAGATAGATATAAAAATTGATTAAATTGTGATGAATTACAAGAAGTAAATAAACACTTTATGCTGAGTAAAAACATGGAGAGTTGGGCGTGCACTGTATAGTGAAGGGTGGTAAGTATATATGCTCCATTTATTATGTCCATTTAGCTGATAGATCTAACCATAGATATATAGTTAGATATATAGATGTATTATAGATAGTATAGATAGATATATAGATGAATAGACAGTGTAGATACTTATGTAAATTAGGGTTTCCATTTGCAAAAATTTTGCGAAAGAAATCGCAAATTTTTGCTTTCGTTGCGCCACATTTTGGCGCGAAAAAATAGCACTTTGCGCAATCATTCGCAAACTTCATTTCGCGCAAAATTGCACTATTCCACTTTTGCGTTATTTTGTTTTGCGCAATTTTACTGAACAAATTCTCAGTAAAAGGTTGAATAAAGGTGTAAACTGTATGAATTAGTTATCTAGGAGATTTCACTTTTTTTATATAATTGTAGTGCTTAAAGGGACCGTTCACTTATTTGGGTAATTTCAGGGTAAACTAAACAGCCTATTCGCGTTGATTGGTATTAGTCTTAGTTATTAAAGATAACTGTGGGCGGAGAAAAAGCCGATTTTTCGTTCAGAATTTGAGCGGAAAGGGATTTTCAGTATGTTGTCGATCAAAATAAATTTCGAATATAAAATTAAACTGAAGTATCTAATAGTTAATTGTAAATGTAATAATTTTTTTAATTTTTTTGTTTTTTGACTTTCTATTTCTAAAATAACACTATTTTATCGCATTTAAAATTGTGTATTGCCTGTGTAAAAAGCTGAATTGAACGCGGCATGAAAATGAAAAGTTGCGCGCATACGGGAACAAAATTGATAGGCGGGGGGCCGGTACAAAAATCGTATACTATGAAAATACATTCATTTTAAATTTCTCGGACTGCGACTGCAGCTGATCTTCTTGAAAACAGGAAAGCTGACAGACGTCTAACATAATATTATTTTCTTGTGAAATAATACTATCAGCTGATTAATTCAATTATCATTTCTATCATTTATTCAATTTATTCGCTTTATTCAATGATATTTTAACAAAATAAACTATTACTCAAAAATGCAAGTGTAATATATGATACATTTTATTCACAACGAACGTGGAGTGAATCTACGAACCAAAATACGAGTAATGATTAATTGATTGGCGTAGAGAACGTCGTCTTTGTATACACATTTTTCATGTTTTAACACAAAAAAATGTAAATTTCTTGCTAACTCAAATATCAAAAGTTTTAATATTTAAGTTCATAATAACAAAAACATAATGACATTACAATACGATAAATTTAAATATTATTAGGCTGCTGTTACTGAAAAAAAAACATCAAATAGTGTCTATATAGAGACGGACCGTCCCTTTCCGCTCAAATTCTGAACGAAAAATCGGCTTGTAAAATTGTATTCGTTGCCCCGCCTCGAGACAAAAGTACCAGATTTGTATTCATTGCCTCGCCTCGAGACACAAGTACCAGACTTGTATTCGTTTCCCCACCTCGAGACACAAGTACCAGACTTGTATTCGTTGCCCCACCTCGAGATACAAGCACCAGACTTGTATTCGTTGCCTCGCCTCGAGACACAAGTACCAGACTTGTATTCGTTGCCCCACCTCGAGACACAAGCACCAGACTTGGATTCGTTGCCCCACCTCGAGATATAAGTACCAGACTTGAATTCGTTGCCCCACCTCGAGATACAAGCACCAGACTTGTATTCGTTGCCTCGCCTCGAGACACAAGCACCAGACTTGTATTAGTTGCCCCACCTCGAGACACAAGTACCAGACTTGTATTCGTTGCCCCAGCTCGAGACACAAGTACCAGATTTGTATTTGTTGCCCTGCCTCGAGACACAAGTATCAGATTTGTATTCGTTGCCCCCCTTGAGACACAAGTACCAGACTTGTTTTCGTGGCCCCGCCTCGAGACACAAGTACCAGACTTGTATGTGTGGCCCCGCCTCGAGACACAAGTACCAGACTTGTATTCGTGGCCCCGCCTCGAGACACAAATACCAGACTTGTATTCGTTTCCCCGCCTCGAGACACAGTACCAGACTTGTATTCGTGGCCCCGCCTCGAGACACAAGTACCAGACTTGTATTCGTGGCCCCGCCTCGAAACACAAGTACCAGACTGAAC